ACTTGCTCGCTCACATAGCCACAGACCTGCTCCTGGGATGGCGGTGTAATGACGACATGGCCGTTGTATTCAAATAACCAAAAGAATAACAATAATAACAATTGTCTATAGTATAGCAAATAAAGTATACAGTATAGATAATCCTCAAGTAACCAAAAGTATACTTACCAGACTTCCCAAATTCAGGACCTCATTTGAGTTTGAGGGGTTCCAAATTCGACCCATCTCCCACTCTCCCACATGGGCATCCACGGGCATCCTGCGTCGCTGTCGCGTCAAAGGCCTCCCATTGCTGCCATCATATACAGGAAACCCCCCAAAGATACAGAAAAGGGTGGTGTACATTTGCCAAGATCTTAGAATTGGATGTTTCTTTTCCACATATTTTTGGGGGTTGCAAACTCATCTATATATTGGAATCCTTGGCAATATTAGTGACCCATCCCCATCAACAATTCATGACTGCTGGTTTCCTACGTTTCCTAGCTGCCAGCGCCGCCAGCGCCGCCAGCGCCTGGTCGAAAAAGAAGGAAGTTGGGGCGCCATTGGAATTGCTGACGACCACTTTATTTCTATCCTGAGAGCAGAGATGGACTTCAGACAGCCGCTGAATGATGCTGCAACCTTTTAGGCATGTCAGAAACGTAGGATAGCAAAACATACCGCCCCTACTGTTGCCGTATATCGATGGAGATATACACGACAGCTTTCTGGCTTTCTGATGTGATCATTTTCCTGTGCACAAACAGGTCCGATATCATATCCACTGAGAACATGTCCATAGATTCTCATAGATTGAGAATTTGCAATTACATAATTGATCTCCAAATAATGGTGGCTTCGGCAAACTACAATTCTTCATATTCCATGATTTTCCCGCAGTTTTACTCAGCCGAAAATCGTGTTGGCCTTGGACTCTAACTGCCCAGCCGAGTCACAATAGCAATGCAACTGATTCCCTCACTGGGTCGAGCTCGAACCAGCACCCACACCCGTTTGCTCTTCAAACCTCACCATGCCACGAGGTTTGACATGGTGATCATGGTGAGGTGCCGGGGCAGATTAGGATTTCACCAATAGTCTAGTAGCAACCCATCTGGGGGGTTCCCAAAATAGGGGTACCCCCAAATCATCAATCTTAATACGTTTGTCCATTCTAAACCATCTGGGATACAATGGAAACCCCCATCTCATTTCTTGGGGGAAATGATATGCCCAATGACTTAACCACCCCGGCGGCACTTGCGAACTACGCCAAGCTGCGTCGGGCTTCCAGGTTGGCCGCCAAGGCTGCAGCCAGGTTGGGGTCCTGCAGATGGAAGTGAAATCCCATGAGTCATTCCACTGTAATGGTTGGTTAATAGGGATTCCACCAGTGGATTATGATAATTCCCGATCTGGGTAGCATAACCCCCAAAACTAATCATCAACCAACAGGGATTTTGAATGGTTTTGAACACTGCTCAAATGTTTGCAAGGAACATCTACATTTCTGGAGGTGAATGTCTGATGTAATTTAATTCATCATTGAATGATGCTTCAACCAATGGAGGTGAATTTCCAGCACAGCATCCAGACCTCTGTCAATCTCATCTGGGTGGCACGGTAGAACGCCGCAGACACCCTGAGTTGGCCAAGGAAGTGGTAAGGAAGCTACTGTACCACGATGGGCATGGCGATGTTAATGGGACGTCCAGCAAAATACCAACCATGGAACCAGGAAAAGCAGTGGCAATCCCCAACAAGAAAATAATCTTCCACCCATATTCCCTAAGTTTTGTCCATAGTTGTCTGGGTTTGTAGCTATAGACATGGCTCAACTCCCATTTTTCAAGGCTCAAGGGGCCTTCGCAGTGCGGGCAGAGTCTGTGCCGGCAGCCAGGTGGCCATACGTTGAAGCACCGGCGCAGGCACCTGGCAGGAGCACCTCTGGGTATTCTCAATGGATGGATGGTTCAGGGATTTTGCTTGAGAAAACCCTGCTAAATTTGGCTTATTCATGGTGTTTCTCTGCTAAATTTAGGCATTTCCTGCTGATCTTCCCTTCAGGGATATGAGTGAATCAAAGGTGTGAATGCTCTGTATCTAATCCCATATGCAGCAAGGTCAAACTTATGACATGAGAAAACAGGGCCGATCCTGACTTGGATCTGTGGTGACAATTGTTCCTCGTGTGTTGAAGATATCGCAGTATGATCTCAAAGGACCAAGCAGCCAATGCTACTGCTGCCACTATTGATCAAAAAGTATCAAAAGAAAACTAGAAAACCACCAGCTAACCTCCTATGTGAACGCCCCATCTTCGACATGGTGACATGGTGCCATCCCAAGTGACCAGCGACTGCCCCCATGCCTTGCAGCCCAACAGCCAGGCAAACCTTGATAAAGTCGGCATGGACGAGCACTGAATGAACCAAATTGAACCAACCCTATAGGGTTCCTTTGGGGTTCCGAACCCATGTTGGAAAATCTGCTAAAAATGGAAGTTAAAGTCATCGAGAAAATAGCTTGATACTAGACTAATCTAGCCGCTGCGAGAATCATCATGACCTTGAACCAGTGAGTTTATAGACATGTGTTGGTGATATGTTGGTTCAAGAATGTTCAAAATATCTAATATATTCTTTATATGACCATCTAACCTTGATATGAACCTTTTATAGAACATCAATCGTTTGATTTGTTGGGGATCAAAAATCGGGAAATGACCCAGCTACTGAGTGCCCCTACTTCGGCAGTTCACGGGGCAGAGAAGCGGTTCCTCCTGCACCAAAAATGCATCGACTGAGTGCTGGTTGGACCACCCGGGGATAAGCACGGAGAAAACTGAGGTGGACAGTATCATTGGATGTTTACTACATATATAATTATAGATATATACCTATATATATAATGTGTTACTATCATTTGGGATCATCACTTCATTTTCTGGGAAAGGAATGAGTTCGAGGAGATGATAATCCCATTCTTGAGTTCCGGCAGCTCATCATGGATTGTCATTCATCATCATGAATAATCATGGATCAGCAGCAGCAGCAGCATCATCATCATCATCATCACCATCTCCATCACAAGTATTATCAATTAGATATTATTAGCATCTATCATTGTTGTCATCGTTGTCATCGTTGTCAAAACAACTATGGGGGATGGAAGATGAAAGAACTTACTGGAAACCAACAAGTCAAACCACATCAAAGGTACAGTAGAAATGGAAGGTACCTGTGCATCTGAAGGGTTGCGCAACAGTTGCAGAGCGAAGGACTCAAACAACCGGACCCAAGGAACTACAATGATGCCCTTCCAGCATCGCATTGGTACCCGGCCGACCTGACCCTAACTCCCCAACTGCCTCCACGCCGCGCGCTGCGGGGACTAGCCGACCTTCACACGAAGCTATCCACACGGGACATCACTGCGAAGCTGTGCTGCTGAAACCCATTGAGCTTCCGGACGCTGATTTGATGACGTCTGGCCTCCGGGGGGCCGTTCTGTACCGGTGCCAACTGTCAAATGATGGTGCAATGATATACAGATATACAGTGATAGTAAATGCGGTGTAATGCTATTTACTTATGATACAATCAGATCGACATTAGATTTTCCTGGAGTCTTCTCCCTCATCCCTGAAGCAAAGTGAGGGATTCCCCGATGACTGGCATCTTATCAGCATCACAGCCCAATTGGATCGCCTGCGTTTTGGAACGGGTGAACGAAGATCCTCCGCGCCCTTGGCAGAAACATCACCTGGCAACACAAAGTCATGCTGATTTTGGGGAAAGAACCTGGGTTTGCAAAAGGATCTTGCTATAGGTATGACTCCGCCAAGCCATCCACAAAATTGCCCAGATCTGAGATCTTCCAGCTGTTCGGGAATCATGTTCTGTCAGGATATCCTCATATATCATATATATATATACAGTATATCAGCACATATCCTCCATGATTTCTGGGTGCTTCTCAGTGCTATCCTTTCTTTTTGGGTGCATCGTATAGCCATCCCATCCATGGCTACGGGGTACCTGCGGCCTCAGGTGAAGCCCCCACAGTGCCTGGCCTTAGCCATCGATCTGACTGATCTCAGTTGAATTCTCCCTTCCATTGGAGATGTTCAAATTGTCCTTGGATTTGCTAGTTTGTATAATTCATATAATGGATCTTCCACTATCTGTGGTACTTTGCTGGGAATTTACAATAACATGTGTCAACCAGAAACATGTAGAAAGTTGAAAATGACTACAGGCAAGCGTGTCTCTGTGAAGCTGGACGGTATGGAGCCATGTCACGGTTGGTACAGTAAGACAGTAAGCCCATAGCGAAACCTATGGTGGTTAAGACGGTTAAGTTGTCAAAGCCTGGTGGTGGTTTTAACATGTTTTAGGATTTGTGAAATATTGGTCAAGACAATCAACAGTGTGACACGGTTGCTCAGGTCTATGAGTTGATCAGTCTATCTCTTGTGTTCAGTCTATGTTCCGTTGCCAAACCAAACAGTTTTACTTGGTGACATCCCCCATCTTTTGTGTACCCTCTGATAATCAAAACATGGCAATGGAAAATTCCCAGGAAATTCCTATATTTTCCTATTCAAACCATGAAAAGCTTCACGTCACGGAGGTTTCCTGAAATGGGGGTACCCCTAAATCATCCATTGAGTCATAGGATTGTCATGGATTGTCCATGAAATAAACCAACCAGCTCCCAGCTATTGGGGATCCCTCATTTATGGAACCCCCCTGGGCTCCCACGAGGCAGAACGCGTATTGAACGGCCTCAGCTCACGGGAACGTAGGAGGGTAAAACTTCGCCCGGGAAGTTCCCGCGCGAACTCGGGCGCTAGGCTATCGCAATGGAAAAAAAACAGGTGGATTTAACCAAGAAATATCGAATATCATGGGGATATCATGGGGATATCATGGGGATAACTAACCAATCTGATTTAACATGGTATCATTGGGGTGTGTGAAAATGGAGGATACCTCTTGTTTTCAAACAGACTTTTTAAATGGGAAGATGATGATAAATTTAAACCAGCAAATTTAAAATAAACCTGTTTTCGTCCAAGGCTGGATGAAAATACTCCATTTGTAGATTAATTGTCCCATCAAAGATGAGAATCTTCCATGACGAGGGTAGATGTCTCAATATCTGATGGTCTATCCAAACTGCATCGTCAAAGAAATTCATCCCTCTCACACAGACACACAAGGTGCAGGAGAGCCCCACATTGGAGCTACATGACTCCGGCATCAACACTCAGTGACACCTCCCCCGCTGGAGCCCCTGCTGTGGTGGACAAGAGAGGCCACGGTTTAGGGCCGAAGGGCTACGGGGCCTTGGTGGCGGGTTTTACAAAACGGCTTGGCTTCAAGGCACTCAACGCTGTATACTCAAGTCGAAAGGAACTTCATTTTGGGGCAAGGACATGATTTCAAGTGACTGGAAGACCTTTCATTTAGAACATGAGATCACATGATATCATCTCAGGGCAGACAGCTCCTGGGTGCCCTGCGGTGAAGGGGGCAAGGGACTGAGCCCAGCTTGGCGATTTGAGCCCCTCCTCTCCCGCATGGTCTTCCTGACGAGACGCCAGGATAACTAGCATAACTTATCTACAACAAAACATTGTTTCCTGGAAATGAGTCTCTTCACCTGCTAAGGACTTTATGGGTTTGTTTGACCCCCGTATAAATCCACTGGGTTAATCATATTTTTCCCTGTAAAACTTGTCATGTGGCATATTTAATTTCCAGACACACACGTATCATGTATGTGTAAATATGGTTGGTGTTATTCCCACTATATCCGATATCCATATCCTTCCTACTTAATCCACCATTTTTCAGGGTAACTCCATTGGGTGTGTCTGAAAATAGTGTACCCCTTTTTACCCAATGGTTTTGCTGATCATTATCCCGTGTTTAAATGGCTATTTCATTGGGAATATACCCTATTTTCAGACAAACCCATTAATTACCGTATAAAAAACAGTAGTGTCCACCCGTCCCGTCCTAAGCAGAGTCAGCTGGCCATCCATCAGCTTGGAGGGCGCTGAATGCGTCGTCGCGCGGAAAACACCTGGGGCGCTGAAGGCTAAGGATGGTGGGATCCACCAGAAACGACGAAGAAAAGTGGTGATATTTTTGGGGAATATTTATGGTGAATGGATATGATGGGATCATGATAAAAAATACTCTCCGGTAAATGAAAAGTGAAGATGATTTTCCCAGCTGTAAATCTCCAGTTTCAGGTGATTTTCCATTATTTTATTTGGACCATACAATGGGAGTGTTTAATATGAGTGGGTGAGATTAATTGTTCCCCAATGGTTCACTTGGAGGGGTGGCTTCAACATGTACCTATCCAAAACATGCCAAAACCATCTAAGAATAGCTATAGGAATCTGGTTCCTGGCTTCGACCCACAAGTCTTCGAGTTGGGATTCCTCATCCCGTTTAGCAACTTAGAAGGATAAAGATTGTGATGTTCATGAATGTTCATGAATGGTCATGAATGGTCATGAATGGTCATGAATGTTCATGAATGTCCATGGCATTCCAATCCTTGCGAACCGCTCAACCATACTGGAATGACGAACATGACCACTCAGTACCCCAGTGCTTCTGACCTCATGCATAAAATTGCCTAATAACTAACATCAAATGGTGACATGCGAGTACCCCACCAAATCGAGTTTCGATCGTCACGAGCCTGCACTTTTTGTGGGCGATGATGCTGGCGACGCAGAAGTGCTGGAAAAAGGCCTTGTTTTCACCGCAGCAATGGTGACACCCATCTGAAGTGATGAAAACCGGTGTCTAACCCCTCAGGCACATGAACAGAAGTGAGAATTTAGCTGATATCCGTATCCACCTTCACAGCCACAAACATCCATTTTTATACAGAAATACGTGATTCATCATGATTCTCAACATGGATATGGTTGGTTACCTGTTCGGTTTGTCTATTGTTGACCAGCCAACTTGCGATCACAACCATCCAACATCAACAACGCTCACCGAAGTCAGGCTGCAATGGCGGTGCGCCATCCATGCTGCTGTGGCTATGGAAAGGGCGCCGGAGCTATGTGGCCATGGCCATGGCCATGGAAAATGTGTCAGGATGTGTATCCACAAACTTAATTTCATGGTTTGTTCATGGTTTATTCAATTGGGATAATACATATGAATATGCAGCCATACAGCGTATCATATATATATATAATTATAATGAGTATTGCTAGTCTAAGTGCCACGGTCAAAACATGACTGTGGAGCTGCTGGGAGATATTGGTTGCTCAACGATTTTTGACGTGCATTCCAAGAACCCACTGCTTGACAAAACTGTCTGGAAGCCGAGCTGAAAGACATTGTTAATTTTTTGACACCAACCATGAACTGTGCAACTCAGGATGTTCAAGAATGTTCATGGGAAACGGCTAAAAAACCATTGCGGCTGCAGTCATCGTTTTGACTTCTGTTGTGGATTTCCGGCCTTCAAATTCTTTGAACCAGTACGTCTTCAACATACGCATCGAACATCATCAATACCTATAATACGTAATCATTCCTACATCGTCTGCATTTCTCCACCAATTTGCGCTGAAACAAAATAATTGTCCACTTTGGAAATATTGCCGTAACTCGCAATATACCCCTCAAGAAGTCATTTCATGATGCAAAACCAAACATACTGCAGCCGCTGCCTCGATAGGGCGGGAGCCGGGCATCGCAACCGGCAAGTCTCATACAGATTCCGAAGCTGCTGATATCAGTAGGTTTCACAGGAAAACTGAACAGAAACCATGGTTATTCGCGGTGTCTCCACAATTTTCCCTTCAAAAGTGGCGGTGGGCTCTTACGGGTTTTCCCTCAAAAAGCTGAAACCTGTTCTGAAGGCTGGGAATCCCCCATTTAGTTCAATTATTTGCCCAGTCAGCCATATTTGATAGGACACCACATAGCCCAGCGGCTCAAGGTTTTTCCTTCGATGTCTTGGGGAGGCACACATCATGCCAGACGCTCACCGTTTTTATCGCAACATTCTCCGCAAACCTTGTGGAATATGGTTACCAGCTCGAAAAGTAATCTTCGGAAATTTGTATCAACGATGGGGCAGACACCTCCAAACACAAGACACCATAATGGATACATGTTGCTCAGCCATTCCTTGGTAAAATTGAGCCAAATGCTTGACATGTTGCGTCACGGCAACCGCCCTGCCATGTCCAAACAGGACACACGGCACTATGGTGAAACGTGTCTGGCCTTTGCTGGTCGAACATGCACATCAGGCGACCTGCCGCAGATTTCAAACAGAACTCCTTGTCCATGGAGATGCTACGGAGACAACTCATCCTCCGTTGTTCAAAATGATGATTTTCTCTGTGCAGCACGGCTCACAGATTCCATAGATAAACACTTGCAAAAATATGCAACAGTTTCTTCTTCTGACTGTCTGTGTTGTTGTTTCGTGCAACCAGGGATAAGTTTTTCTTGGGCCCCCCCAAAATGGATCAAAAAATTGATGGTATAACGCAAAATGACGACAGTTCTTCATTGGGAACTTTTGCATACTTTTGCCCACCTTTTTCCGCACCTGGTCCAGCAGGTGCACGGCAACAACCAGTTCAGCCAGGACTGGCCATGAATCGCAGGGGATCTTCCGTCAAGGCTGTGGGTCGATGATTTCTCACGTGGGAATGATTGGAAAGCCTATTGATAGTACGCGTGTTAAGCAGATTCGTTTTGTATGACACTTTTGACAATACCCTTTTTAAGCTGCTTGGCAGTGGAAACCTGTTGATCCCCCTTTGGCCCTGATTCTTGCTGCTCAGAACCCAGGCGCTAGCCCGTTCTAATTTGAAAATCAACGCGCACCTTTGGGGGGCCCAGGAATTCATAGAGACTTCCCAAAAAGTAGTCGACATGCGGAACCAACAAACAGAACGTTGATGTCAATTTAGGTCCCCGACTTCTTCGAACGGCGCAGAGTCGGCCTCATTTTCCGTTTTTTTTGCAGAGGCTTGGTGTTTAAAGTCTGAGAATTGTCGGTTACACTCAATTCATGATCATCAATACATATGAAGTAAGCAAAATTTAAACCATGGAATGGGGCGAAGATTCTTGCCTGGGGTCATTAAGTCATTGGTATTGGGGGACCATTTTGCAATACAGGAAATCTGCGGTATTGGAGCCTCCTTCGGCACCTCTGGAGAGGGCACCAACTTGAATCAACATGTATCCACTGCAACTGGCAATATCATTATAGATATTCTTATGTATTTTAGTCGTATATATAGTTTTAAAAAAAAAAAACTTCGTACAAAGACTTGCAGCAAAGTACATGTTGAAGAGCCAACAAATGCCATGTCGTACGTTTTCATGCGTTTTCGCCCAGGCAGCCCGGCCGTACTTGCTGACTTTTTGGCCTCCAGAAGTGAAGACCGGGTCGAAAAGGATGCCAATTGAGTTGTCTGAGGATAGGATACTCCTCCCTATTCATATAGCCATAGCTGGCGTTCATCCATTGTTTTCAGACACACTCAGATGCCGTTATTCATTTGTAAAATCAAAATCCATATTTTTCATAGTCAAACCATCATCTTTTACCGTTTTTGACGGCTAGATCTATAATCATCTGACCCTGTCCGTGGACCTTCGCCTTCGCCAATTCTTCATCCAAGAACTTCGAGGCTGCTAGCAACTCCTGCAGGTCGGCGGTTACCTTCATGGAACCTAATACACTTGGAGGTTTCCTCAAAGGGGAATCCCCAAAACCATGGGTTTCAATACAAACATAGCCTAATTTGTGAAAATGTGGGGCACTCCTATGTTTGGAAACCTCCACTTAGATCATACTCTGGATGGAAGAAATCCTGCACCAGTTGGTAACGATTGGTACCTATGAAACACTGGGACTATAATGGGATTTGAAGGAGAGTCTACCAACAGGTGCAGGAATTCGTCCATCACCAGTATCAAGTTGATGAAGGCTGACTAACCGATGTCTTGAGAGCACTTTTATGGAACTAGGACAAATCTAAGCATAACTTAAGATGGGAAAGATATTTTGTATGTTAGTTAAATTCATCCAAAAGTCAGGGTACCCCATGGAAGAAATGCGCCGGAGAAGCCGTAACGACAAGTTTTTTTCCACGTGGTACGATCAGTTTATCTTCCAGCAAATCACTGTAGATATGGAAAGTCCAACATTGATGGATCATTTCCTGGGGTTTGCATAGGTTTCCCACACTGTCTTTTTAATTGATGGAGTTATCTCATCCACCGTTCGGGCACCCCAAAAGGAAACCCTATGGAATGGATACTGGATTTATTCATGAATTCGGGTCCCATTAATGGGGCTCTTCATGATGTTGAAAAAATTGCATAATCCAAATGATGGAGGAAAAATGAGGGAAAAAAAGAAATTGGGACCTCTAGTCAATTGTGCAAAATCAGCTTCAAACCACGAACAACATCATGTACAACACCATGCTGCGGAGCGTTTCAAACAATGTAAGAGACCCCATCGAATTGCTATTTAAGATGAACGAATGATGATGTATCACTCAAGCTTGGGGTACCCCAATTTCAAACAAACACCCACAAGATCAAACCAACCAGCTGCGGATCCCTCACACCGCCTTGCACTGATCATCTGAAAGGATGAAATCCTCCTGCAGACATTCAAGCAGGGAAAGTATACCGGACATACATGAATTGAGCTAATCGCAACTGCCATTTAGGGGTCCTTTGCCAAAGTTGTGCTTGGCTGATGAAACAAGAGGCAAAAAAAACAATGTACAAAGAACTGTTCTTGACTATCTGCAATTGCAGTCTTGGCCAGCTGCATGCGTCAACCCTTGGCAGAGGGTGCCCCAGCTGTCAAACCACTGTTGCTGTCATCCCTCTCTTTGTACTCACTGGTTAGTTGATATTCCTGACAATGTTGTGTGTTTGTGACCAAGCTGTGTGCTGACAAGATGTATGTGACAATGCTGTGCGTGTGTGTGTTGACACGTGGGAGCGAGCGGGCGCAGAGCGGAAAAAACAAGAACCGCACACAATGATGCGAGGAACCATCTGCTGAGGAAAAACACTAAACCAGATACCAAAAAAAAACATTTTGAGATTTTTGAAGATTATTCTGCCAATTTCTGCATTTTTTTCAAAGCCGGCTTTTTCAGGTCCTACGGCGTTGATTTGTCACCAAACGATCCGAACCAGCGCTTTCCGTGCCCCGCCTGCTTCGCTTCTTTTTCTTTCTTTGAAGCTTCGGCCTCACGCGTTGCTTCCTCCAAGGGCTGCCCAAGAAAGGGGAACCATGATTGGCCATCCCCAGTAAACCAAGTAAGATAATAATACACCGGTACTGCAATCCGTTCCATAACTTCAACTGCCAAGGCAATCAATTATATATATATATATGTGTGTATGTCCCCAACTTCTCTGAAGCATTTTTTTCTTTACATGAAACATGTGCCCGTCTTAGGCCAACAGACCAGCAGCTACGAGATCACATTGCGACCCTGGACATCGGTTGAACCCGATATTTCAATTCAAATTCCCATGGAAAAAAGATATGCTGGTTCCGTCGTTGGTGGTTGCAGTGTTCTGGTAGTATAGTCTGTATAGTATAGCTTCCCGAAATTGGGGCACACCCAAAAATTAAATGGTCGGATCTGAGATGATTCCAGGGCAGCCCAATATTTTTAGGAAATTTACGATGTTAATATGTTCAGGTGTGAAATTTGGGATTTGTGTTTAAAGCAATATACCATGTCGCAATCGTTCAGTTTCAGTGTGGCAACCTGCGATCAGGGCCCAAAGCAATGGTATATTATCAATTTGTGGGTTCTTGTTTCGTCTTACAAAAAACAACTCAACTATTTGATCGATTTGTTTGGTCTCTCTTGCTGTTCAATGGGAAATTCATAATTTATTCCAGCCTTATTTTTCCGAAATCCACATGTCCTAACATAGCTTATTCCATGTATATTTCCACCTTATTTTGGTCAAAGGTTTGATCCCAAAAATAAGAAAGGAATAAGTAACTCACCAAGGGGGGGTTGGACACCCCATGATATAGATGATGGTTGGATGTTGGTTCGCCAAAACCTATGAATCCCACACTACCATCCCCCAGCTAAAACAGAAGATTGGATTCTCTAGGTCGTTGGTCAGTCACTATTTCCAATCGTTGAAATGCCACTTTGCTGGTATACTTTCCATTTTCAAAGAAACCCAAATTCAATTCTACCTTGATTAAATCACTATTTTTCATTGTACACACGATTAAATCACCATGCTTCACCATTTTCCATGGTTAAATCCCCATTCATCAACATGTTTGATGATCAAATCCCTATGTTTTATCGTCTAATTAATTGTGGGATGGCAGTTGATCCACCATGGAACCGCCGGCGTGCCTTTTTCCCCATTACTACCTTAATATCCCCACTTCTAGCCCCTGTATGTGGTTTCAATCCCCCCATTTCCCAATTCTATCAGCCACGCCTCCTGGGTCGGAGGAACATATCCATCCGGGAGCACCGGCACACTCGGTGTGGCTTCGGTGTGATGCGCGCCGCCAAAGGAATAATCCGGATGCCCAGGATGTATGCGATATAATGCGTGTATAGACAATGTGTATATATATATATCCATATCTATATCTATATCTATATCACAATTTAGATTATATGACAGACTTGCAGATATTACACTTAGTACATAATATACTATATCCATGTTCAATAAATGTGTAGTTGTATTGTACAGTATCATGTTTATGTCTACAGTCGGGCAAAGAGACATTGCAATGAAAGATCAAATCTTATCGATAGAAAACCATTAGCGAATGGGAGATCTTTCGGCACCATGATCAGATTGCTTGCTCAAGGCATTTGGGGTTTCATGAACGTAAGCAACCCCAACAACATCCAAGAGGTTCATGGGTTTGCGGAAAAGGCAACTGGGTTTGCTGCTACCTGGTCGGTGGGCCACTAGGTGAAAATAATATACCGACCATTCCAAAGGTGAAACGGTGTTAAACGGCCAAGGCATGTTTAAACAAACCGGTCATATTCTTTCACCACTTCATCTGCCTTAGAATTCCAATATAGGTCCCCCCTCAACTCTATACCAATCAATTAATTTCTGCGTTTAGGTCCCTGCCAGGCAAATCAAGTCTTTCACGGTGGTGAACCCCCCGGTTATATTAGTTGGTTTAAGAACACCATGAGTACTAGTACGATATATCTACCGTAAACCATAGTTGTTGGAGTTTTCTCAACCAACTTAGCTATCGATTCGGTTCACCACCTTGAAAACTCGGCGACCCTGCCACCCTCCGCGACTCTAAGAACTCTACAAGACCTTCGGAGGACCTTGAGGCAGTGAAAACTCCTGCCGAAATCTCGGGCGTTTCTGAGAAAATATGTGTTGAAAATAGAAAATATATAATATGATAAAATTATGGTTTCTGATGTTTTATGTACATAATACGAATGTACATTACATACATCTATATGCATATATGATACATGTTATGTATACTATGATGTAGATATACATATATATATACACACACGTCCACACGAATTAAATATGTATATACATATATGTGGATGGAAAAAAAAAAACTATATATATATATATGAACATCCATATCAAAACATATACAGTAAATATATAAAATATAAACGGAATACATGAACACAAATAGTTGCACAAAGTATGTTGCGTCAGGAAAACAGGGTTGCCCACTTACAACTAAGATACAACCTACCTACTAAATAGATCTAAACAGGGTGAACTACCAGATCAGGCTGACCCCGGGGAACCAAGGTCAATCAACTGTCCACTTTGGGGGGCTTGAAACTGGGCCAAAGCCCACGCAACGACCCATAACACCTCATGATGCAAAAGACCAAAAAAAAGTAAAAAGGATCATGTTACCCATCAAAATTGCAATTTTGCGGTGCACCCCAAGTGGAGAAATCGACCTCTGTAAAATCGATGGAAAGGATATCGAAAGGTTGCGCATTCTTTTTCACAAGTCCAGGTTGGGAAAATCAGCGTCACATCCATGAATTCTGAATCTGTGCGTGGTGAGAAACACCATATGATCTTATCCCAAGAATCTCAAAACATCAGAGGAACTTTGACAACATGCAACCACTGAGGTCCAGTTGGCATGCGCAATCAGTTTTCATAACAATCCATCCATATCCATCCAATCCCCTGATCAATACGGAACTGAGGTTTGTACACGAGTGGATACTCAATAAATATCAACAAATTAGCTGTCCACTTTGGAAGCTTGAAATTTTGCCACACCTCACCCGACCACTCAAGTCATCGCATGATGCAAAACCAAACAAAGCCGCTGCCTCCATAGTGTAGCCGGACATCAGTGCTGGGAGAGCTGATCAACGATGTGTCCATTGGAACAAAAAAATGTCTGGAACAAAAGTGTCTGCCGAGGGGAAAGACAGTGCTTAGCCGTTATAACCTGTTGAGGCCAACCATAAACTATGTAACTCAGGATGTTGAAGAATGCTCATGGCAGACGGCAAAAAAAGTTGCAGCTGCAGTCATCTTTTTTGAGTTCTGTCGTGGATTTCCGGCCTTCAAATTCTTTGAACCAGTATGTCTTCAACATACGCATCGAACATAATCGAACCATCATATGTATATATATATATATCAGTATATTATATTATAATCATATTATATGCAATCATTCCAACATCATCTGCATTTCTCCAGTAATTTGCGCTAAGTCCTTCTGACTCCTCTTGGTCACGAGTAGTCAACAAGTGCTTACATAATACATGATTGTCTCTCATGATGCAATCCTTTGTCCACTTCAGCTTCGTGATTTCGGCTTGAAAAGGCCGATTCTTGCAATTCTATTCTGGGCAAATAGACAAACAGATCTATTTTGCTTGCAAGTGGGTATGCGGTATGACTCAACCAATACTGATAGTAAACAGACCCATAAATATTGCTTTACTTATATTGCTTTAAGATGCTTTAAGATGCTTTAAGATGCTTTAAGATGCTTTAAGGACCAAATCCTCTTGTCTAGGGGCTCAATAATTTTGAGTGATGCTATGTTTTTGTCGGAACTTTATTTGACATCATTTGAGGAAAACATGCTCACTCAGCCCACATGGAGCGCTTGTTTTTCACAGCTCATCCCACTGATGTGGTCTGGACATGGGATTCTGCCCCAGATACCACACTGACCAGATCTGTGCATCGAGTTGAGAAAAACCCTGCAGCATCCCAACCAAACCAGCTTAGCTTTCAGTGGGCCGCTCTGTTCGACAAAATGAGCCTGGAAGGATCAGAACTCTGCGTCCGAGGGTCAATGTCAGCACGAAGCAGTGCTGCCACCTTCAACAAACATCTAATTAAAGATTAATTAATATCTACAGTGATAGAATCTACAAATATCTACAAGTACATCTATTACGTCTATAGATATCTATCTATAACACGTGACATAATATCATATCTAGCTTCTGCAGCTCACAAATGCTGTGCCTTTTCAGAGTTCACCAAAAATGTCCCACCAGGACTCCCGGGCTTTTCGGATCGGATCCGGCAGAGCCACAGCGGTTTCGCTGTCGACTCATCCGTTCACCTTGACGCTGACAATCTTCTCCTCCCCGCAGGCGGCCTGGACCACGGCAAAGACCTCAGCCGTTTGAAAAGGTGGCGAAGTTGTTACGCTTTGAAAAACATGTTCAACTCCCCCTGAAAGATAGTAGATATATGTATTATATATATATTATATATATATGTATATGAGACAGGTAGATAACATTAGATAACTATAGATGTATGTAGGATTATGTAGGTATATTGGGTTTCTTACCATGGGCTTGGTAGCCGCAAAACATCCAACATATTGGATCATTGGAGTATTGAAACCCATGCCGTCAGTGTAGGGATCACCATATCAGTGCGGGGGACCATTAGAAAAGGATAATGAACCCCCCCTTGATCCATGTTGATCCCATTAGTCACTAGTTGATAGTGGATGGAAAGTTTCATTTCAGTCATGCCTTCAATTGATTTGGAAAAATGGTTCTGTTGATGAGTGATTACGCTTTTGATTTATCCGTCAATCCCCGTTTCCTCCACAGGCGGATTGTCTGCTGGTCAAGTGGGGAAACGAGTGGCCAAGCTTCAGACTTGGTGACCCTAGTGGGCAGATCCCGAACAAGAACCCCTGTATTGGGAGGAGACAAACAATCATGATTTGGCAGTCTAGAAGCCACGGACCCTGAAATGGTCTTAAATGTAGTTGAATATGTGCCACATCTTGCCACAATCTAGGACTTCATCGATTTGGAGTGAGTCACCACCTCCTGAAAAGATACATGAGTCCCAAGGGCCACCTTTGGATTGAATGTCAAGTTGGGGGAAAATGTAAAATTCATATAATATGGTTGATTGCCATGACACCTATACGAAAAAAGTCAGTCATGAGCGTTTTTACAAAAGGTCTGGATGTTCTGTGGCAGTGCCCTTCCATGTTTTCCTCCATGCGTTCCGCCATGCACCAAGCTACGTCCTTTCCACCTCAAGCCGTCACAGGTGCGCAGTGGGATGATAGAGGACTGTGGCTACAGACAAAGGGTCGAGGATGTGGAAATCAGTGGAAATCATGACTTGAAGAGCTGAAATATGCTGAAATAATGTGATGAAAATTGATGAAACCTGAACTTGCATGAATTTGCCAGCTCCAACTGCGCAAATTTATAGAGTTACTGCAACCCTTTGAGCAAAGGAAACCTTGTCCTCATGATGGTCTACCTGGGTCTATCGACCTGGGTCCCGGGTCTGTATGCTTTAATTTTATACAGTAAGCTAGGTCGCAGGTCGTGCTGCAGATTCGCCAAACAGCAGCAGACCGTCTACCATCATCGCGTTCAATTGTTCTCATGCATAGGAAAAGCATGTTTGCATTTTTTGGGGGACACCTGTATAATTGTATGTGTATACATATATATATATAGTAGTAAGATATAATATACGTGTATATATATAATATTTGTTAGATATATATATCATATATATATATATATTATTTAACATATATTGAGATTCATTGATATTCTATGATCATCATCCGTGACATCTGCATATTCTCCTTTTCCCGGGGTGAGACAGGTCGGCCCTGAGCTTCCCGGACTGTCCAGTCCAGCCAGCAGATCCTGCACCACCTTTTTGTCCTGTCTCAGGCGTCGCTAAGAGCTGGGGGACGGAAAGAAGGTGGTTAGGTGGTTGTTGATAGCCTTACCATGCCTGTTTGGAAGGAAACTTGAGATTCATGTTGATTATGTTGAAGCGCACCGCCAACAATGTTTTTGGCGGTCATGGCGGTCCTAGATTGAAAACATGCCTGTGACTTATGATCTCTATGACACGCAACGGCCCAGAACAAAGAACTGTTTTTCCCCACCTGCCAGGTGAGGGTTGTTAGATTTTATGTCAGTTGCCTCCTGCCTCCTCCTGCCTCGTCCTGCCTCCTGCCTCCTCCTCCTCCTCCTCCTCTCCTCCTCGTCCTCCTCGTCCTCCTCGTCCTCCTTGTCGTCCTTGTCGTCCTCGTCGTCCTCGTCGTCCTCGTCGTCCTCGTCCAACTGCGACCCGCGATCCACAGTGTTCGCTGCCGGACCTCAACCACGACCAGCCACGCCCAGTGTTCCCTGCCGGACCTCATCTGCGAGTATCCACGCCAAGTGTTCCCTGCCGGACCTCAACCACGACCAGCCACGCCCAGTGTTCCCTGCCGGACCTCATCTGCGAGTATCCATGCCAAGTGTTCCCTGCCGGACCTCATGTAGGAAGATATGGGACAAAGAATGTGCAGAAGAAAGCTCAGAAAGAATGTCAGAAGATGCCAGAAGATATGCCAGAAGAATGCCATGCCAGATAGAATGCCAGAAGATATGTCAGATAGAGTGCCAGAAGATATGCCAGATAGAATGGCAGAAGATTTGCCAGATAGAATGCCAGAAGATATGCCAGAAGATATGCCAGATCATATGCCAGAAGATATGCCAGATAGAATGCCAAATAGAATGTCAGAAGATATGTCAGATAGAATGCCAGAAGATTTGCCAGTAAGAAAATGTATAAATGTCATGGTGGGGATCACACGAAGTAAAGTAATTTTTTGTGACAAACTCCAGCACAATGTCTCGAGAGAATTGCGACTCCATGGCGGCTTTAAATGCTCGTGCCAGTGATGGAGGCTGTCGAACTCAAGGGTTTTCACCTCTGCCCCGGTGAATCAAGCGTTTCAGAGGCTAGGATACATCTGCAAATCAATGCTGAGCGCAATATATATATATATATCAAATAAAATCAAATAAAATCAATCCTCATCCACCACAAAATCGTTGCTGGAGCGTTCTTCTCAGAAACTAGGGCCATCCGCAGATCTCGCTCACCTTCTTGGCCGGTAGATCGCCTCCGTCGCCAGCAAGGCGTAAGCCATGCTTCGGCTGGTGCCTTGTAAGGCAGTCGCATGGCGCAGGTCGGGATGGAAGGTGTACCCATTGCTCTCAGCCGAAGCATGGCTTACGCCTTGCTGGCGATGGAGGCGATCTACCGCAAGACCTGCTGCTTCGGCGGCATCCTGATGAAGATGGCGGAGACGGTGAGCGAAATCGGCGGATGGTCCTAGTTAGTTACTTGCTGAGAAGCCAGGAGAATGTTCCAGCAACGATTGATTGATTTGATTTAGCGCTCAGCATTGATTTGCAGATGTATCCGAGTTCGGCAGAGGTGAAAACCCTTGAGTTCGGCAGCCTCACTTTTGAGGCCAAGCCTGTGGACTTCACGCTTGAGCCAAGAGCAGAGCCTTCTGATGGTCCAACATGCTACCCATTACCTGTAACGCTTCATTGCCTACATGGGTGACATGGGTGCTGTATCAAGGCGTAAAAATGTCAATTGTCAATTTTAGCGAACATGCAGCCCAGGCCGGTCGAACACAACTCATGCGATCAGGGCCACCAAATACCGCCAAGAGATGTGTCAAGCTCACAGAATGTGTGTCAAATTTCAATGGACCTTTGTTGCCTTTGTCAGGAGTCTTTGGGTGCCCCATGGTGCCCCCAAAACGATGAAGGCTTCCCACTGAGTCAAAGGGATTCAAGCCTCATCAGTTGGCTCGCCAATCTTCACGAAAGTAGGCAGGTTCAAGTCTTCCTGGGTGGCTTCAGGCTGACAACCGCAGCAACGCGACTTTAATATACTATACATTACTTTACTATGCTTTCCTATGCTTTATGCTTAAAGAAGATGCTTTGGCTGGACTCTCTAAACTTCACCACAACCTCATGTATGCCATGGCCAACATTGTAATCATAGGCAACAAATTTCGCAACGGCAGTCACTCTCCATCCCTTTGTCGCAAGGCCTTGATCTCGCCGGACTCTTGCATCAGACTCACCTCGCCTCAGGTGCCGCTCAAGGGGTGTCCTGTTAGGAAACAACCGATATCAACCGATCAAACACCTGGGTTCAAGGACAAAAAACACGTGTAAAAAATATTGAAAAATTGGAAAAAGGTTTACCTGACAACAAACTTTGAGGGTCAAATTCCCCAAGTTCAATGGGGCTGAAACAATTTCAAACATGTCAATCCAGGCTCATAAACATCATGTCCTACGTCGTCCAACTTAGCTTCCACGAATTTCAGAGTCCCATCAGCGATGGAGCCATCTCTAACAACCGCTGGGTGTTCCTTACCGGAGTCAGGATCGGCCGCACAGACTTGCCACTCGGTCCTCTTCACCTAGAGGCTCGGGGTTGTCTGGTTTCACACGGATGTCATTTCTCCATGTGAAAAACTATCCACCAAGGGCTCCGGGCAAAGGGGACTTCCAAGTTGTGGGAAGTTGGGCAAAGATCCTCCATCTTCTTGCCTTGCAGCTGCGGGTCGCACCACTCAAGTTGCAGGCCATCCACTGAGATCTTGATGGATACTCCAATCATCAGCAGCTCCCCCTGAGGCTGCAGCCTACAAATAAGAAGAAGTCGTTAGCTGAATTTCCGGCATCGTTCTCATCCTCCAGCTATTTTCTGTACGTACTCAATTATATATAATTAACATATGTAACATAAGTATACACAAGTATTAGTATAATTCAACTCTGGTTCCTTCACTATCTCAGCCCTTGACGTATTGTCTGCACCCGCGGACCGCTACTCCCAAGGCCCTGCCTGTGAAAATGTCAATGGCCACGATGTGCGCTTTTGCGTGGCCGTGCTTTCCAGTCTTCGAGGTGGAAACCTCCACACACCTGGGTCGGTACTAGTACTGGGGGTTCTTTCAATCTAGCCAAGGGCACACTAGCTTTTCATAGGTTGGGGAGGTTGAATCGGTTTCATCACACTTGACACATACGGCCCCGACGTTTGAAGTTAGGGAAATTCAAGAATGCACAGGCAGCCAGGGCACAGTTTTAAAAGATCCATTTGAAAACGAGATCCTAACCCTTCCACAGCATCATGTTGTCAGTTATACCGCCCGTCCATCTTTCGCCCAGGCACTTGCAGGGGCGTCCCTTGATCATCAAATGAGAGCCTTTGCGGATCTCACCTGCCTGGCTCAGTCTCAATTCATCCAATTGGGGCTATCCTATTTTCCAGCTTTTGTTCTGGGTTGAAGGCCCCCAGATCTTGTCCACTAACTGAACTCCAATAGCCTATCTCAGCATCCCCATTCCAAGGACTCAAAGTGCCCGGAAAATTGGCACCGCAAAAAAATACTGGCGCTTCCCCACAGTACATGATGTTTGAGTAAATCAGATCTGGTGAAGGGGCATGTCTCCTCTTTGGACGTATTTATTTGGATGGGGCCGATGCGGCCTCAAATGTGTGTGAATCTAAGCTCCAACCCACCGAAGCCAATATCTTTGCTGGGCCAGATTCACACATTTCATCTCACCAGCCGGTGACCTGTAGACATGCACCGGTCGCATATCTTTTTGAAATCCTATGGAAAAAAAAGAAAAAGCCTAGCCGTCCGGGTCCAAAAACGCCCCTGCGCAACCTGCATGGGGTAAGTGGCGGAAGCGCCAGCTTCCGCTTTCTCGAAGGTGTGGTCATCATCATCCGCCATTTTGAAATAAGTCCTAGGGCGCTAGAGAAAATATGCCACGAAGTGGCGGAGTCGTCCTGACGAATGATCAATAGATCATGGAAATCTTAAAGTGCCAAGATAGGAATCATTCCACTCTTCATCAAAAGTTGATCTGATTATTCTGATTATTCTGATTTATGCAGGGCATTTGCCCCAAACCTCTGACAGGAATTGGATGGTCATCTCTGCGGTGTCCCATCCCCTCCTGCGGCTGTGGCGATGTTCCGGGGTTCCGCAGATCGAGCTGCGGGATGTGGATGACTCGGATGACTCCAATGACTCGGATGACTAATGAAAATGTCGCTGAAGCGAGTTGTCATGGATGAGAGATGGCATTGTTTCACCTTTGGATCTTACTCTGCCTGAATCCTGAGCAGAAACGTCACGGACGAATCTCGAAGATGGGCTCCAACAGGGGGCCAAGACCAGAGATTTTCCAAGTTTTTCCTGTTCGGGCGCTTTTAAGATTGGGGCGAGGCGCACTTCGATTAGCAACCGTGCGGATATGTCCCACAATCGATCTGGGATGGGGATATGTTTCCACGTTGTTGCATGAAACCCTCTTATGCAGTGAAATCTCTCCCATCTTTACCAAGGTGGGTCCCTGGGTGGTTCATATGCCCAACAGCCTCCAATATAATGATACAGACACAAATGATATCAAATGATACAGTACAAGTACAATGTGTTACAACATGTTACAACAATTACATTCCACCAAGGGGTTCAAGTTCGGGCTGCGGCTGCTTGATTGTTATTGGGGGAACGGATCAAAGAAACATTTGCTGAACCCATGGTGCCCATGGTGCCATACTCCGAACCCTGCCACCACTTTTTGCGGTTCACTCTCCCAGATGTGGTCCGGGGACGCAGAGGCATGCTGCACAAACGAGCAATGTCGAACAACTGCAGGTTACTTGATTCATAAACTTCCCAACATTCCCCACAAAAAAAAGGCTTTCAGCCACCATCAACACTGAGTTTTGGGCTTATGATATTATTAATCCCCATATTGACCCTATTGAATTGGCATCTTCTGAAGTGTGCAGCACACCACCCCCAAAAACCAGCTTAGCCCAGGGGCTGAACGGCTTGGTGCCTTCTGAAAGGGCCTTCCTTTGGATGGACAAGCAGCGCTTTTCCAACTGAAATTAAGCGTTGTCACGATGTGTTTTTCGAAAACCTTCCAAAGTGTCCTAAATTTTAGTAAATCATCTTCAGGCTCATCAAATCATCTACTGTCCTGCGCCAAAACACTTATCCGTTCACCTTGACGCTCACAATCTTCTCCTCGCCGCAGGCAGCTTGGACCACTGCGAAGACCTAAGGTCAGAGTCTGCCCAGGTGCATCCCATTTGATCGTCACATGAGTGCCCACTCGTACCAGACATGGGCTGGCACTCCGAAAATGATGTCTTTCTCAATTGGAATCACCAAGATCAGTTTCCAAAACACAAGCAGTTCCAGAAAGACCTGCCAACCCAATGAGTGAACCAGTTTTGATAATGATACCAAGTCACATCCTTTCCACCTGCAGCGCAGCGATGCACGCCGCGATGCAAGCAGAAACGGCAACGTGTTATGTCTGTAAATGTAAAGTTGGGTGGTGCAACGCAGTCTAATGTCGCACATTACTTGCGTATCACATATCAACAAATCTTATTTATTTATTTATATATATATATTATATACATTAAAAATATAGATATGGATGCACAAAATGGTAATAATGGTGTTCATGATGGGATTTGAGAAACAACCACAACCACAACAACAACAACAACAGCAACAACAACAACAACGACGACAACAACAACAACAGCAGCAACAACATCAACAACAACAACGACAACAGCAACGACAACAACAACAACAGCAACAACAGCAACAACAACAACAACAACAACAACGACAACAGCAACGACAACAACAACAACAGCAACAACAGCAACAACAACAACAACGACGACAACGACGACAACAACAACAACAACAACAACATCAACAACATCAACGACAACCACAACAACCACAACCACCACCACGACGACGACGACGACGGCGACGACGACGACGACGGCGACGACAACAACAACAACAACAACAACAACAACGACAACGACGACAACGACGACAACGACAACGACAACAAGGCAAACTCCTGGAAGAACCTCAATCTCTATGTGGTGGAGAACCCGGAGCACTAGGCGCCAGGATGCGCCAGGTTAAATATTTCAGATAGGATCGTTTTGTTTCAGTTTCCAAGAACATACCTTGAATGCATAAGTACACATCGGATTGTTAGTCCCTTGTCGGACGAAATGGTTCATTCGATCATCGGAAAACCATGGAAAACCAACGCCGCTACCAGCAAAGTATCAACTTGTATCCCCAAGTTTTGATAAGTTGAATAAGTTTCATGTCTTCCGGTTGTCTTCTGGACACTGCCCTGTTTCATTGTCAGGCTCACTCAAATCCACAGGGCTTCCAGACTGTCCAGTCCGGCAAGCAGATCCACAACGACCTTCTTGTCCTGGGCGGTCTGTCTGGTTGCTTCAAATGCCAGTGCGAACTCGAAACCTTCATGATGAAAAGTGGAAGGAAAGAAGAAGAAGAAGAAGAAGCAGAAGAAGAAGAAGGCTGGACTGGGAGAAAGAGCTGGAGGGTCACGGGATGCGGATGATAATATATTAAGTATTAGGTTTTGGTCAAATCCTGCCAGATGGTGGGCCCGTGTCAGCTGATGTTTGGGGGTTGGTTCAATTTGTGCCATGGAAATCGCTGCGTTTCGTTTCCCTCCGTGGTGCTGCCTGCGTTTCTGATGGTGCAATTAGTGAAATTTTTTCTTTGGATGCCAACATTGTAAAGTGTCCTGCCTTGATCAGAGACTTGCCATTAAAGGTTGGGTCGTTCCATGCCTTACTTTTTCATACTTTTTCAAGCATTGTGGTTGACAGCTAATTAATTGCAAGGAGGAGGATCAGGATGATTAATGATGCCATGGTTTTCCCTGTCCTGTTGTTCTCCAAATGCTGTTGAACGTTGGTGAATGTCACTGCTCAAACGCGCGGAGTCCTCATCCGTGGGCTCACCAATCTTGACGAAGGTGGGCAAGTTCAAGTCTTCCTGGCCCAAGGCAGCAAACAAGCTGAGAGAATGTGTTCATACAAAGAGTCTGAGGAAGACCTGCTCAGTTCGGGCATGGGTCGTTCTCCTTGGTGCCCTAGTTTTCATGTCCCAGAATTGCCAAGCATAGACCTATGGGGATGTTCAGCTACATATGTAGCGATGCTGTGTTTCAATCATAGCCATAGGAAGTGATGATCAGCTATCCCTTGTGGGTTCTCTCCCAAAACATCCCAGCCCCAGCTTTTCGGGCTCTAAATTCATACATACACATTCACTTCCCAACTACTAATCAATGAATGTAAATGAATGACCAAGTGCTAAATGCATTTAAAGATAGGTATATATATGGAATTCAATATGCATTTTACCAACATCCATTTACCAATTTGTGAATGCTCCCAATATTGCAAGGACTGTGCCTTGATCTCGCCAGACTCCTGCATGAGGCTGACTTCTCCTTGGACATGGTCGGGGAATGATGGGATGATCAGCCCCGAAGTTGAACTGCCGGAACCCAACCAATCAAAGAAGGACAAGCAAACCTTTGGGTTTCCATCTAAACGCCTACAGAAATATATGTGTTTTCTAAGTAGCAAAATTATCTTCCAACCCATGTGTTTTCCTTCCGTGTTGGTCTTGAGAGGAATAGATTCCCAAGCACACCAAGATGATCGAGGAATATGCAAAATGCCAAATCCTGAGATGACTATACACTATACACATGTGACCCTATATATATATACACAGTGTAGATAACTTCATAAAATAATTCAATAAATACATGTCAAAAAAATCGTGATTCCTTGATCTATAGATATCTACAGAATCTACAGTAGAGAATCAACATGATTCAAACATCATTCATCCGGGCCCCAGTGGCCCCCTATGGCCCCCTATGGCCCCCTTCTCCAAGGTGCCTGAGTCCGGATCAGCAGCACAGACCTGCCACTCAGTACGCTTCACCTGCCCGCCAAATGATGTGGGAAAAACCATGCCATTTTGACCAGCCATGACTGGGAATGGTTTATATATACCATTATATACCACCTATAGTATTATAGCATCTATAAAAATGGTGATGACTGGGGGATGGTTTATGATTGTTTTAGCCAGAGTACTGGGATATAGAGGAACTATAGACTATAGTAACTATACATCCACTATATCCTACTACAGCTTTTACGATAACTTTCAAAAAAATGGTCATTGTGGTCATTACTATGTAACTATGGATATCCCAAATTTAAAATTTAGTACTATGTGATACTTACTGTCCATATCAAAAAGTAACCATAGTAGCGGGGTATCTTGCGATACTCTTAGTAGCCATGGGATAACCAATCAGAGTCTTCCCAATATCGTCGAGTCCAGTGCACTGCCACCCAAGAATTGGGCGAATCATCTTTCAGTTTGATGCAAACAGTAGCCGAGTGTCTAGGGAAACCTTCATCAAACAATCATGAAAAGTCTTGCGCAGGTTGTATCACAACAGATGGATATATATATATATATATACACATATATATATAATATATATATACATATGGTCTATTCATTTGACTTCACTTGGCACGGCCCCCGCAAAGGCTCCCGGCGAATGGCACTTCCAAGTTGTGAGAAGTTGGGCAAAGGTCTTCCATCTTCTTGCCTCACTTCTGGATGCGGTACAAGTAGATTCGGGAAGTACTAAATCCACCCAACGAGTCGGTTCATGTCGGCTGGTCAAACACAATTGTCACAATTGTACAATCAATGGTTTTTACTGTCCTGCAGGAGATACAAAATCACTTTAACTCACATTTTGTATGGCCTAAATGTGACTGTGCGAAGCCCTCCCTCCCACAATTGACTTGCCTGTGAAGATGTCAATGGCCACAATGTGCGCTTTTGCGTGGCCGTGCTTTCCTGTCTTCGAGGTAGAAACCTCCACGCACCTTGGAGATCTTGGAGATCTTGGAGACAAGCTGATGACACTGAGCACATTGTACGCCATCAACAAGCAAAATTTAAAATGTGTGTGTGTGTTTGTAGCTGTATACTATGCATCTAATATCATCTAATCATTCCATGATATGCTGTTGCATCATCTCTCTGCTGCCTAGGCACTTGCAGGGGCGTCCCTTGATCATCAAATGAGAGCCCTTACGGATCTCACCGGCCTCACCATAAAAATCATAAAATAGGCAGTTCTTGATCTAATGCCTACAACATGTTCACCTTCATCTATGATCCTCAAATTCTGTGCCATAGCTTTTGGATTGCCATCATGAAACAACCACCCTATCTTCGCAGTCTGCATGGCCAAAAAAAACAAAAAGTTCCAGCACCTGCATGGGGTAAGTGGCGGAAGCGCCAGCTTCCGCTTTCTCGAAGGTGTGGTCATCATCATCCGCCATTTCTTCGAATCCTCGGCCACTGAATCTGAAAAATAACACCAAATTTAGCCGCTAAAAGTATCGGGGAAAAAATAAAAATATATAAAAATAAAATAAACGTCCAGAGGCCTTGCGGGCCCAAATTTGGAAGAACCAATAAACTTGGAAAAACCAAAGTCGGGATCTCAAATTTGAAAAAAACAAAAATAAACTTTGGAAAACAAAATAGGAATTAAGACTCGTGGTCACCCTGCCCCATCCCCAGAACTTCTGGAAAGTTCTTTGCTTTTTTCCGTGTTTTTGTTGTTTGATTTTTGTTTTAGTTTTTGTTTCTTCCCAAGTGTTTTTTGTTTTTCCAAAATTGTGATTCCGGAGGCCTCCAGTGTGTTTTTTGTTGTTCTTTCTTTGTTTTTGCATGTGTTCTTTTCCAAATTTGGCTGTGTAGTGAAGCAGGAGTTGGTCATTACATATATATATATAATATGCATATGATATTTTCCTAGGTCTCAGAGCCCTAACATGCAAGATACACTGTAATTTACAGTGTTTTTCCCACGTTGCATGGGAAACAAATATGACATCCCTATGAGCATGTGAGCCTACCCTTTTCTGAAGAGGCGCCATTGATCCTGAGGCCTCGACACAGTGACAAAGTGACGAAGGAAGCGACTTCAAAGGCCCGGCACCCGAAAAAGTGCTGCGGCAAAGGGCAAACGTGAAGCCGGTCATGGTCGAAGTCCAAGAGGGTCAAACCATCTTTGGGAATCTGAAGTCATCCAGTAGCTAACCTACATAATAAAGATATGTATTATATGAGTGGAAACTGATTAATTTTGCGTTTGTATGACCATCAAATTCGGGTTCAAAGGACGGAACCCACAAGGAATTGCAGAGCTTGGCACAAACTTATCATGCACCATAGCTAAATGGTACCAGCTTAACCCCCTGCAGCTGAAGGAAAGATTCGGCTTTGTCCAAAAATTGCGGATGCCCCAATGCGTGGCCAAGTCGTTATCGGGAAAAATGATAAACGAAGTGAATATAGTTTTTGTTCATTATTTTTTCGCAGATGCTTTGACAAACCCAAAGTATATCCCCAAATATGTGTATATATATATACATATACATCAAAAATTATCAAATATCATGTTAAAAACACCATGTCCACTGTTTTCTGTTGGTTACATCTCAACTTTGACCATGGGGAAGAGTCTCTAGCATAAAACCATTTTTTTGCACCTCACTCAACCAGGTGTGGTCAGGTGGGACGCCACAGCATGCTACTGCTGCGACCCAAAATGACCAGCTTAGCCCAGCAGTGGGCACTTTGGTGCCAAAACGGACCTGGAAAGACTCTATCTTTTCCACTTTTTCTCAGTGGATTCTGTGGATGGCAGTTGTTACCGAGTTGTTTCTTCATGATTCATTATCTTGATATGTCTTGATTCTGATCATTCGCTGTGTCATTACTCCAAACCTTCCAAACTTTCCTGAATTATCTTCAGGCTCAGCTACAGTCCTACGCCGAAAACTACTCATCCGTTCACCTTGACGCTCACAATCTTCTCCTCGCCGCAGGCAGCTTGAACCACTGCGAAGACCTAAGGTCAGAGTCTGCCCAACAGGGCAGTGGGTTTGAAAGGTCGTGGTCAACACCACTCACAGCACAAAGATCTTGGTCCAAGGAACGTCCTTTCCACCTGAAGCGGAAGCAGGAAAAAAATCAGGCTTGGACCCCGATAGGGAATTATAATACCACGGATATGTATTGATCATGGATGGTATGACTAGGAAGGAGAATATCAATACAAAAGAACGAACCACTGCCAGAACATTACCTGCGACCACTAACTGTTTGAGCTTTTTGAAATGCCTGAAGGATCCTAGAGGAACACACATATAGACCCAAATTCAAAAATGCAGATCCCTCTCGCTTGTTGAAAAATCTTAGCTGTCGACAATCAGCACAAGTGCAATCATGCAAACACTTTCAAAGCTCTTCCAGCTGTCTTCTGGACACTGCCCTGTTTCATTGTCAGGTTCGCTCAAATCCACAGGGCTCCCAGACTGTCCAGTCCGGCAAGCAGATCCACAACGACCTTCTTGTCCTGGGCGGTCTGTCTGTTGGCTTCTACTGTCACTGCGAGCTAGAGATGTTCATGATGAAAAGTGGAAGGAATGAAGGAGAAGGAAGAGGAGGACGACGAGGAGAAAGAGGAGGGTCAGAATGAGGATGGTTATGATGCCATGGTTTTCCTTGTGCTGGTGTCCTCCAAATGCTGCTGAACGTTGGTGAATGTCACTGCTAGAACACGCGGAGTCTCGCGGAGTCCTCATCCGTGGGCTCACCAATCTTGACGAAGGTGGGTAAGTTCAAGTCTTCCTGGCCCAGGGCAGCGGAGATGCCACATGAGTGCGACCTCATCACTGATGAAAGGGTCATGACATGACTGCGGAGGAAAATATCAGTGGGGTCTACGGGATGTTTTTGGTTGACTGTAGTCACTGTAGTCCTTGAGCTTCACATAATCTTCAGTGTTTCATCTTCTTGCTTGATGGCGGATCATGGCTCGTAGCTGGAATATGGTCCTTGATCTCTCCGGACTCCTGCATGAGGCTCACTTCACCTTGGAACAGAGGTCAAACTTCCCCTAAATGACCTAAATGCCCAACACAAAATGAAGTGCATTGAAATCAGATTGGGAATGAGCCAGTGGTTTATCTGCTATACCTGTGGCTTTCTAAGTTTGACAGCACACCATGTATGTCTTGTTTGACAAATTGCTGGTATTGTTGGGTCAGAATTGATTTACTGCAAGGAAACTTTACAAAGACCCAGTTTTTTTGGTGCTAATTACAAACAATGGTTGCCTCCATCCCACAAAAACAAAAGTCTATACACGTATGCAGACATATAAATGGATCATATGTGTGTGTGTATATATATATATACATACTATATACAAACATACACTATACCAATACTGTACATCCTATCACATGTGTATATATATATATATTATACAGGTGTGCTGTATGTAATTATATGTATATGTGAACAATTTGATCCTTGTTCTGGATGTTATAATTCAAGTAGTACCTGTTTCACTGGTAGTTCCCCGGCGCATTAACTATGGCGGACGGCGATCACTTCTTTTGCTCACGCAAGGGGTCTTGAGCCATCACGGCATCCCATGCACTTACTATTTACTTGTCGCACATGAAGTGTGCGTTACGACCGTGTTCCCTTTGACACCCCCCATGTCCATGGTATCCTTTGGACCACGGACACGAGAGAGGGAACTTTGAATTAGAATGATTCTGCTACTCGAATTACGCCTATTTACATAAGACATGCCATTCGGCTCCCCCTTTCCCACATACTCGACGGGAATAATGGTTCAGGGTTCGCCTACTCTTTGGCTGTCGATGCATTGGCGCTTCATCAAGCTGTACAGCGCGAATTATTGCTAGCTAACATCTACTTTTCTACGTTGGCTAGGCATGCCACTCACCCGACGGGAGAAATGGGTCGCTTCGCTACCAAAGATTTACAATGCTACCTAACGAATTCACGTGCACTGTGCAGAACTTCGTGCAGATTGGGAATATCAAAAGTCTCGAACCTAAGCGAATTAATTAGTCTACGCCTCGCTCAGAGTCCACTCAGTTGGTCTTTTTCTGATCATCTGTTCACAAAGACGATACACATCTCATAGGCCAGTGATCATTTTGATGGACAGAGGTAATTGGTTTACTGCTCTCGGCGGACTTTCTTCCATTGAGGTGTTGTTGGTGATTTCTCCCATCCTGCCGCACGTTTCGGAGCAGCTTTCGGCGATGAGGGCTTAGCAGGTGGCGCCTTTGATGGTTCATGGGATCTCGGCATAGCCTTAGCCTTTGGAGCGCCCGCCGATGAGGATGATGCTGAACCAGTGCCTTCAGGTTTCTGTGAAGGTTGTGCTGATGATTTGGCTTTCGCGTCTGCGGTTGCAAACTTGGAAGCGGCAGTATGTCCGACTGCTTTGAATACTTCACTCACGGGTTGGAGCCATCTTCGTTTTCATCTCGGTCTTTCCCCTCTGCGCCTCTGCCTCAGCCAGTTGAATAGCATAAGCCATCTTGCTGACGAAGTTTTGAGGTAACGGAATGCCGCATTGCTGGGCAGCAAAGAGTAGTTCAACTCTCTGTTCCTTTTCTCTCAGACTCAGGTATACCGAGAAAGCTGGGAGTTCGATGCAGTTGGGGAAGCCGTGGCTCCCGGAACGGAAGAAGGTGTATGATTCGTGTTCTGGAAAGGTTCCTTTAAGCAGTCGTCGAAGAAAATTGCTGATGGTCACTCGCATCTCCTGCTTCCCTTGGGCATCAGCCTGCATTCGGTTCATTGGCATGAGGAAACCTAATGACTCGGGAGTGTACCCGGCGCGTACCAGAAATTCCATCATCTTTTCATAGACCTCTAAAGTCTTGATGACAGGCATCATCATATTTCTTGGTCGTCCTGAGTACAATTTCTCTCCCTCTGACCATGAGTTCCTCTTCCCTTTCTCCTGAAAGAGTTCGTCCAACTCCAGCTCTGTCGGTCGCTTGAGGTTGCCATCCTGGTCTTCTCCTGTGTAAGGGCAGAAGTCGTCCAGGTCCAGCCGGACTCGCTTGGTTTCCGTCATCATCTCATAGTATTCCTCTGGGGTCAGAGTGACTCTCTGTTTATAGTAGAGCCTGAACATTGTGATGACCTTCGACATGACGGCATTGTCATACAAGTGAGCCGCGGCCTCGGAGACATCATTGTTGATAAGTCCGTCTTCTGGCATACCCTTGCTGCCGCTCTCAAGATTCTTAGTCCATGCTGGAAGTTTGGAAGAGGGTTCATTTTCAGGTTCGACGTCCATTTCATCGTCGTCTTCTTCAACGATTTCGTCGTCTTCATGTTGAGTTTCCTCTTCCTGATCCATTTCCTCATCATCGCCTTCATTGTAGTCGACCTCCGCAGGATTGAAGCCATAATCGTTGGATTCGGATACGTTTTCTTGTGCCTGATGGACCGTATCCTTGAACAACGATTCTTCTTGTCGACGAACTTCTTCATCGAGCTCTTTCTTCGTGGCCTCATCTTCATCGTCTTCAGGAGCTTGTAGCCGATATGGACGAATTCCACAACTTTCAAGTTCCGTCCAGCAAACTAGACACACTGCTAGCTTTGTCGGCGTCTCGTTGAGACAGTGAGGACAATGGCGGCAACCTGAAGTTTGCACCCTTTTGCGTTCGACTATGTAGTCAATCAGCTTGATGCGGGCCAGGTATTGCTCTTGTCCGCCAGGCTCGATGAGGTTGTTCTTGAACTGGTTGACGATGTTCATGGCATCCATGGCGGTTTCGTCAAACGGTTGGTCTTCGGCGTCGATGCACTGACTTGCAACTCTCAGGATGGACTCCTTGGTGGCTACCGTTCTTGATTTGATAGTTCCAGACCGGACTACCTGGTCGTCGCCCGACGGGACGAACAACCGGAGCCATGTCTTGTTGTACTGATCCTTGGGGTCCTGAATCCATCCTCCTTTGATTGCCGAGAACGGGATGATCTTTGGTGAAACGATCTGTCCCGAGTCAGTCAGTCGACCGCCATATTCCACCATCAAGGTCTCGGTCGGGATGAACAAGCAGATGTAGTCTCCCTTTCGCGTATCGACGCTCTTCGTGATGGTCCAGGATCTGTGATCCCATGGCACATACGGGTTGAAGAACGTGAACATCCGATGACCTTCTCCAAGACCTCCCGGAATTAATCCCTGCCTCCAAATGCTTCGGAGGTTGGTCTTCTTGGTGATGTGGAAGCAGACCGGTAATGACATAATGGTGTTGGGTGCGATTGGATGTGAAAGCAACGAGGACAGCAATGAAACGTCGTCTCTTGAAGATCCTTCTTTGTGCCCCGTAGGAGCACGGACCGCCACTGGGTAGAGCAGTAGACCTTCATCAGGGATGTGCGTGTCCGCTTCGACTTTGTTGTCAATGCACGTCAGGCTGCTGCGATCAATGTCCTTGTTGATCCCAAATGCCAAGACTTGTTCACGCACACGACGTCCGTACCGGGCACAGTGGAACATGATCTTGAAGAGCAATGTCATGCGGTAGTTCGCCTCATTGACATTCCATGCATTCTGATCGCTTGCTCTTCCTTTTGGGGCAAGGAATACGTGTGGCCAGCGTGCGTGCTCGTGTCTCCAGATGGACTCACATTTGAGCACTTCCTCGATGGGCACCCAGCCGGCGTCATCACAGGACAGACTCTGCTGCTCTGATACCTTCCCCACGTTGTGCCGCAGGATCCTGTTTAGTGAGGTACTCACCTTGTCCTCGTAGGTGTCGAGCCGGTTGCCAGTTTCGAAGCGGTAGTTGGCCGCATATTCTACACCGCCAAAGTAAGAGCAGTTGAAGAAATGGGCCCCCGTCGTCGGGATGATTTTCAAGAAACCATCTTGCGGCGCCTCGACTCGCTTGTAGAAGGGCTTCCTGATGTTGTTGTCAGAGTAGCTTGCCATGAAGTCTGGCACTGACCAAGTGTCACCTCCTCCTCTGACAATAGCGTCTCGGATCACTTCGTTGAGGTCAACAACGTTCTGTGGTCCTAGCTTTGTAACATCACGTCCTTCTATGCAGAACCTACCGTATTCATCGAGGTCTCCGACTTCGGACATGGTCCTGATGCTGTCGTACCATTGGTGTTCACTAAACCTCGGTTTTGTAGGTTCATCCGTTTGCCCCGACCCTTCAGTAGCACCTGATCCGTCCTTCTTGTGCTCAGGAGGCTCCATATCGACGTCATCAGATGTTGGACTATCAGCCTCGAGCGACGCTCGGACGGCCTTTAGCACCTTTCTGACTTCATCCTTCTTCTCATGTTCACATTCAAGATGACCATGTTTGGTGCTACCACAATACAAGCACACATTGACATCCTCAGAGACGGTAAAGAGTTTTCCCAACGCATCCAAGAGTTGCTGTTTTCCGGAAATCTCTGAGTCCCTGACTACATCAGTGGGATCATTTGCTGGCTCATCAGCTTCCTCCTCCCCAGGGTGAGCCGACGACTCGTCACCTGGCTTGGCATCGGCATCAGCGCCCATGCTGGCGTCATCCCCTGTGATGTTGTTCTTTCTTCGATAATGAGAGAATACCTGATCCTTCTCCCACTCTGTGAGGCAGCAGAAGTTAGCCAGCGATTCATATCCGGGGATTGCGTGGATGATCTTCATGACCCTTTCGGCTTCTGCGGTCTGCAGGGTGCAGTCGAATGATCCCCGTCTCTTGTCATTGATGGTGCTCGTTGTCCTGGAGGTCGATGTGAATTGAGCCAATGCCTTTTCCAATCCGTTGAGGTACTCAGCAGGATCGACACTGGCATTGAAAACATCCACAACTCCTTTGGCCATATTTGCCACATCCAAGACACCAAGCCAGAACTCGATGATGTCCCCAGTTTTCTCGGCTGATGCACGGGAGAATCCAAAGATCTCGTTCCTCTCCTTCACCTCAGGAACGGCGACCTTCTCGAAGAAGTCTTTGTATGCGACATTTCCGCAATCTTTCGTGACCCTGTAGATCAAGAGCCACTTCTTCGCGACTT